TTTAGTAATAACTGTCTCAGAGGGAGGTTGATCCTCTAGATGAGGAATGTGGTTATTTACCCTAATTGGATCATGGTAATTGGGATGACCAGCTGGCCTCAGCCATTCATCTGTCTTTGACACTCACCACGATGATCAAAGTTTTTGCACAAAATACTAAAGATTACATATTAACTCATCTCTAACATTTACAAATTGTGTAATTAGTGCTGGAAAGTGCCAAGACCAGATTTCATATTATGGAAGACTAATCAGGCTTCTTTCATTCATTTTGATCTGCTTTTAACAAGACAGTCTTTAGACTTTGCAGGCTCCAGGCATATATACCTGTAGACTGCCTGCATTAGTTCCCATTCTAAGCCCACTCATCCTTCTCGGGTAAAAGTAAAAGCAGGGAAAGCAATCTACAGTAGAAGCTGCCTAGCTGACTCTGTGCAAGGTTAGAACTTGCTGCTATTTACAAACGGCATGGTCTTAGGTAAACTATTTACTCTTCCTGTGTCTCAGCTTCCCCAGCTATAAAATGGGATGATTAGGGTAGCTGTGAGGATTAAATGAAATAACACAAGTACACTTAGAACTGTTCTGAGCAGATAGTAAGAGCTTAAAAAATGTTAGCTATAGTTAACTACTTTATGCAAAGAGCCAGGAAAGTCATAATCCATAGTTATTTCTGAGTAGTTCTTTTCAGGCTGCTGAATAGAACAGATAAGTTAATGTAGATATGTAACTGTATGGTCAATGTGATTTATTAACTGCAATGACTTTTCTAGGGCTGGCAACAGTGGGAGAAAGAACAAGTTAGCAAAATTGATAAGTTCTTTCCAGCATTCGGGCTCAAATGGACCCATTTATACAAAACTTGCATCCCATTTATGAGTTCCCCTTTGTAGCAGGTTAAATTCTTTCCCAAATCCATATGCAGTCTCACACTGACGTAGAGCTAGCTAGAGTAGGCCCACATCTACTATTGTTTTTTTCATTTGCATGTAGTTTTCTTTTTTTAAATATTATTATGAGTTCTTAGCTTACTCCACTTTTGTGATTGTAAAAGATTATTACTTTACATTGTTTCCTCCCTCCATATTTTGTTTTTCTCCCCATAATTTCTTGGTGGCCTATAAAAAATTCATCGAATCTACTGACTTGATCCATTTTATTTCTGCTAACAAGTGATCCCTTCATCTAAAACAAAGATGATCTCTTTGCTCAATATTTATTAATATCAAAATTATTCTCATCTCAGACAAATTAAAATGTATGTGTTCAGCTGAATTGAGCTCCAGTTACATGATTAATGTTTCCTTTTGTAGTCATCTAATTGAACTTCATCAATTTTAAGTTTATGGTTTTTGTTTTATATCTTGGGGTCAACAATTCTTTAATCTCAGAAGTTTTGCAGGTTACCAAAAGCTTGTGGACTCTAGCTACTTAGTTTCTGATGCTGAATTGATAAAATGGATTTGACATCTATCTCTGCTGCTCAAGTTTGGCCACCTGATATAACAGGAAAACTTGGACCAGTAGAATACCTAGGTTTTCGTCCTGGCTTGGTCATGAACACACCATATGATTTAAAGAAGGCTCTTTAGGTACCCGGACTCAGTGTCTTCATCTGTAAAATGAAGATGTCCATTCCTTCTTTCACTCAACAAACATTTATTGAGGCCTTCCCTGTGTTAGGTCCTGTTCTGGGCACTGGGCATTCAAAGTAGAGCAGAAGTAAATCTTACTGTTACTCTTGAAGAGCATACAGTTTAGGAACTGGGTGATCTGAAAGGTCCCTCTCATTGCTGACATTCTGATTATGAAGTTTATTGTCTGTTACAGGTATATTGTGAAAGGTTTTAAAAAGAGCAAGACTATTTGCTGTTTTTTCTCACTGCTTCTCCTCGATACCTATGAGAATGCCTGGCGTTGCTCACTGTTTGATAACAACTTATTGAGCAAATAAATGAATAAATAATTATATTTGAAATACTTTGAAGTATTTGAGAAAAAGAAAATGTAGATATTGAGCCTGTTTTGAGAGGGAATGGACAGCAATAATTTTTTGTCATAGTAAACTGATTTGTGCTGAATTTCATCTCTTGTCCTAGACCCAGGCAAAGGATGGCAAGAGAAAGTGGGAGAGTTGGGAGGATTTAACTTAATTCCGTTCCAACAAAGGGCAGAAAGTGTGGCAGAATCCTCTACATTTTTGTCCTTTTGTTTCTCCCCTTTTGAATTGTCTTCCCTTTGTTCCACAAATATATAATTCTCACCTTACTAAGCTTACTTCCCCTTTTCTCTTGAGTTTCCTAATCTCCCTCAAATCATGCGTAATAGCTCCCAAATTTTTATTTTAGTGAGAGAGATTTGAAGTCTCTTGCTCCTACAACTGATTTTTATATATGTTTCTGTCCATTAAAATCAATATGGTGCTTCTTTTGCAGTTTGAAGAGAGCACTAAAAATGTTGTTTCTTGGCACTGATAATGATAGTAAACCAACTTGGGCCTATCTGTAGTGTCCTAATGTTTGAGCAGGGTTAGGTGCCTAAGCAGATTCTCTAAAACAATTCTTGATTTCTACTGAAGGAACTTACTGAAATAAATCTGGAACCTTTCTTCTGGTAGAAAACTAAATGATTCATTAGCATACCAAAGTTCTATCCTGAGAAATATTGCTGATACACTGAGCGTTGTGATGATCAGAATTGGATTAGTTTCATCCAAAAACGTGGATTGGTGCACTGGTTCTTCAAGAGTTAATAGTCACCTCGGAAAGCTACAGCCTTAAGAAATCTTTATGAATAATAGTGGGTAGTATCACTAAAATAACCACATTTTAGACATAGTTTATCGTGAGTTATGAACCCTATAAAATAAATCAGACTTAAAAACTTTGGTCATTGTAAGGTGAAATTATCCATAGTAACTGTTTATTTTATTACCAGACCAGCCTGTTGTGATTCTAAAAACCATACTTATTTTCAAGAAAATAAGCATTTTCTGCTCTTTAAGAGGTTTAAAAGAATGTTATTAGATAGGTATTCCAAAGAAGGAATTCCAAAAATGTATTTAACAGTGGTGGTCTTATTTGGATTTAAATGTTCAGCCTCATCCAAACACAAATAGATAGCTGACTGATTTGAAAGAGACATGTATTTTTATGAATGGTCTCCTAAATGGCCACCATTTCTCTAATCCCAGCATCACCCAATACCAAATCAATTTTATTTACTATTGCTAGTTTAATCTCCTTAAAGCATAGCTGTATTATATTCCTTGCTGAAATGCTTTCAAAGCCTATCTATTACCTTCAAATTAAATACAAATTCATTAGCCTAGCAAGATTCCATTAACTCCAGATTACCTTTTCAAGAAAAATCGGCAGCTAGTGGACGTTAAGAGGAGTAAAAGCAAAAACAGTAGCTTCAATTTAAAAGGCAGGTATTTTCAACATCAGAGAGTGCAAAAAAAAAAAAAAAATTAAAATAGCAGGCTATTACTTTTCTTAGAAAGTCTTATTTGTAAAGTTGACCATTGGCTAGCATCTGGGAACTCGGATGTTGAGAACATTCTCACCATTCCCTAACTGATAAGAGTTGTTCCCTGTGCCTAAAATCTTTGTACAAACAATATGATTTATGCTGATCACCTTCTGGGAGTGTGGATTTGGAACATGGTAGGCAGAGGGTGTCACATGATCAGCCCCCAATACAAACTCTGGGCTTGTAGACTCAGGTGAGCTTCCCCAGTAAATGACACTTCACATGTGTTATTATAATTCATTGCTGGAAGAATTGAGCAGATCCTGTGTGATTCCACGGGGACAAGACTTCTGGAAGCTTGTGTTTGGTTTCCTCCAAACTTTGCCCCATGCAACTTTTCCCATTGCTTATTTTGCTTTTTGTCCTTTCACTTTAATAAATTATAGGTATGAAACAGGCTGTATACTGAAACTTGGGAGTCCTACTAGCAAATCGCTGAACCAAGGGGTGGTCTTGGGGACCCCAACTCAGAGAGTTTATTGTTTGGCAATGCAGGTGACTTAGGGACAAACGAGTTCTCTTTCTATAAGCTGGCACATTAGTAAACTATCTTGTAGCATAAAATCAACTGACTGAGCTCTATAGGGAAACCATGGGGAAAAAATCATCCTTCAAAAAGACACAGGGTCCTCCTTGTTGAGCAAAGCAACACTTGCCCTATGGATAAGTGCATTCAGTTGTAATATACTTGGCTGCAAGAAACCGAAAACTACTGTAATAATTTAAAAAGGTTAGTGATTAGTCTCTCACAATAAGAAGTCTGAGGGAAAGATGTCTAGGAGTAGTACAGTCATTCAGTGATTTTTTTTTTCTTTGTGCTCCACAATCCTGAGTGCATAGTTTTTGTCTTTATGGTCACAAGATAGCAGCTATGCTACAGGTATTGTTTGATGTTTCAGTCATCAGGAATAGGAGAACGCAAAGGGCAAAACCCAACTCTGGCCTCTCCAAGGAAGTCTCTATCTGATTGACCAGCACTGTGTCATATGGTCACCCATAACTCCAAGAGGAGCTGGAAATTCAACTATTTCACTTTCCAGTCCTTATAGTACTAGAAATGAGGAATAAGAGAGTTGGGATGGATGCTTAATGATCCACATAAATTGTGTGTCACAATTCTGACAGTATTGGAACAGAAATTCAAAATTGTTGTTGATTACCTGTATGAAGATCTTATATGTGGATACCATGTTTATAAGGCTGAGAGGTTAAAGAACACAATAATTTCCCTTTGGTGGACTCCTTGTCCCTAACATAGCTTTGATCTTGAGCTCTTCCTCATGTGACACTGAACAGCTTCCTGAAGTTAAACTCTTCTGAATTTGAAAATTATATTAACTGGGATAGCAGTAATCTTTTTGCTGTAAAGTTTTTATGTAATGACATAAAATTGCACCGTCATGAGAACACATGAGACAACATACTAATTCTCTCTCCCATCTCCCCCATCTTGTTTTCTTCCTCAGAAGCTGTAGATGAAACCAAACCTAAGGAAAGTGCCCGGCAGGATGAGGGTCAAGAAGAAGAACGCGAGGCTGACCAAGAACATGCCTGAACTTTAAGAAATGGCTTTCCACGTCCCTTCCCTCCCCTCTCCTGAACCCTGTCTCTCCCCACCCTCTTCTCAGCTCCACTCTGAAATTTCCCTTCCCGTCCTGCTCACGTCTGTGAGTCTGTCCTCTCCCACCCACTAGCCCTCTTTCTCTCTGTGTGGCAAACATTTAAAAAAAAAAAAAAAAGAGCAGGAAAGATCCCAAGTCAAACAGTGTGGCTTAAACATTTTTTGTTTCTTGGTGTTGTTATGGCGAGTTTTTGGTAATGATGATCCAATCATTTTGGGAAATTCTTGCACTGTATCCAAGTTTTTTGATCTGGTGCGTGTGGCCCTGTGGGAGTCCACTTTCCTCTCTATTTCTCTCTGTTCCAAGTGTGTGTGCAATGTTCCGTTCATCCGAGGAGTCCAAAATATCGAGTGAATTCAAAATCATTTTTGTTTTCCTCCTTTTCAATGTGATGGAATGAACAAAAAGGAAAAAAATTCAAAAACCCAGTTTGTTTTAAAAATAAATAAATAAAGCAAATGTGCCAATTAGCGTAACTTGCGGCTCTAAGGCTCCTTTTTCAATCTGAATATTAATAAATCATGAGAGTAATCAAAGACCAGTGGCTCTGTGTTTCTGTTTCACCTTCTCATTAGTTGGTTGGACACATTGGGGTTCTACATTTCATCTTTTTCCCAGCCTCTCTTGACACCAACCACCCTGATAAAGAAAACAGAAGCCTGAGGTTTTGGTCAGGACTAATGGCTCCAGTCCTTGATGGGATAGCTAGGAACTGTACTAGCTTGCTAGGCCTGCTGTAACACGGTACCACAGACTAGAGGACTTAAAACAACAGAAATTTATTATTTTCCAGCAATGGAGCCTAAAAGTCTGGAATTAAGGTGTTGGCAGAGTTGGTTCCACCTGAGGGCCAGGAGGGAAAGATCTGTCCCGGGCCTCTTTCCTTGGCTTGCAGATGGCTGTCTACTCCCTTGCCTCTTCACATCTTCACTCTACGCCTGTGTTTGTGTCCAAATGTTCCCTTTTTATCGGGATACTAGTCATATTGGATTAGATCCCACCCTAATGGCCTTGCTTTAACTGGATTACCTCTGTACAGACTCTGTATCCAAATAAGGTAACATTCTGAGATACTGGGATTAGGGTTGCAACATATGAATTTGGGGGCAGGACAAAATTCAGCCTATTGTAGGCACTAAGACTTGCCTTTACTAAAATATCTTCAGTGTATTTTCATTACTCGGGAAGAGTTTAGTTTATCCAATGGAAGGTTATTCCAGGTTTTTCTAAGTTAAATGTTATAGAGAGGAGCCAAGCATGATGGTGTGCACCTGTAGTCCCAGCAACTTGAGAGATTAAGGTGGGAGGATAGCTTGAGCTCAGGAGTTTGAGTCCATCCAGACTGGGCAACATAGATGTCTGTGGGGGACATAATCTACCCAGGAGACCAGTTCCTCTCAATTTAGCCAAAGATCCATGGAAACCTTATCGGTGACCCAGGGACTCAGAGGAAGGCAGAGAGAGAGAGAGAGAGAGAGAGAGAGAGAGAGAGAGAGATGCACTACAAACCCCCAGGTTTTTGTTCCGTTGATTTATTTTGACTCAAGTATTGAGTCAGTCCAGTCTATCTTTTTCAGTTAATAAAATTCTGTTGGATTAACAATCCCTACAGAAGGCAGATATCAGAGTCTCGATTAGTTATAATCATTGTACCTGCTGATGGTGATTGTATATAAAGAAAAGGTGTACATTTAGCACATCCATTTTTAGTTCTTTTCAAATTTCCTTCCAGTTCCAGTTTTAAAAATACCTTCTGTTAGAAGGTAAATAGTTCTCAAGAGAAACAAAGAAATGTCCCTAAATCCTGAAATGTCTATGTTCTTTATTCCTCCCTAAATTTTCTATATCAGTCCTGGTGAAAATTCCTAACAGGTCATGTTCTACCCTGGTCCAGAGTCTCCTCCCATTGCCAAATACGGCCAGCTTCCTACACCTTCAGCTTCCTACACCCAACTGCATATGGAATTTCCTAGAAGGAAAGAGAAAATAGAGTCAAAGAAAAAGCCTCATAATGATGAAGATCAAGGAACAATTCATCTCAGAAAGTACAACCTATACTTCAGTAACTCTGGTCAACTCTGTATAGAGCTGATGCCTGATTAATGCCTCAGAGAAAGCTGGTGTCACATGAAGGATGAGTCCTCCCTGGATCAAGGGGGTTTTTCCTTGGTCACTGACACTAAGGGGAATTTTTCACTGGGAGAAGCAACTACAAAGAAAAACGTCAAAAAGTATAAATAATACATATTAAAACAATTTAAGAGTTTGACTTCATCCTGAAGTCATTCCATTGGCATGATTTCAATGAAAGACTTTGAAGCAAATATCTGGGCTTCAGTCAGGACCTGACTGGGGTCTCATCAGATGTCAGATAAGGTGTTGGAAAAGTCATCCACGGGTTGAAGTCAGATCACATAGGATGTCTGGCAACATATTGCTTTAGGAACTCTATCTTACCTCAAAGGTTTTGGGGTTTTTTTGGAGGGGGTAGGATAAATGCTTTAATTTCTCTTCCAAATTTATATGTCAAAACAATATTTCAATAATTTGGAACAATTCGTCTTCTTCAAAGCACAATTCTAAACTTCCACTGAATTCATATTATACTGAAACTAATGGTATATGATCTTTTAAGCATATATTAATATATACTGTTTGGTGGTCTTAATATTCATGTCAGAGTTGGGATTTTTAAAATTGTACTTATGGGTATCTATTTTTATTTTATTTATAAAGTTTTGGTTCTTTATAGAATTTTAAAGGTGGAGAAAACAGAGAGGCTCTTAATGATCCTAAAAGACATACCAAAGATAACAGCAACCCCCACACTGATACAAAGTAATGTGACTCACACTTATACACAACACACACAAAGTCAGGGTGATATTGGAAAGCATAGACCATTCAAGACAGAAGCTTCTAAGTTCTGTTCTGAAAGCAAGATAAGTTGTTGATTCTAAAACATCTATCTATATCTGGATTACTTTGAAAGACAAAAACTAGGTTGAGGATGAGTAAAAACGGCCTCAAGCGATTCTTTCAAATGGAAATAAGGTCATATTCTGGGCATTAGACCCAATATTCCATTGATAACAAAATCATGACTTTGTATGAAGTAAGTAAGGTCTTTTTACTGAGCTGCATTATTTGGATCTAAAATGTTGCCATGATGTAATACAATTTAAGTCTCTTTGAACATAAAGGGATTTCTAAAACAGAGCCCTTTATTCCCATCATCCTATCCACATTTTACTGATCCTCCAATCTTTTCCGTCATCATCTACCCAGTGGCTTAGGTCAGAAATCTAGAAAGTAGCCTGATTCCTTTTTTCTTCATATAACATTTAGTTCATGAGTAAACCTGCTGTTGTGGATTTCATAAGAGAATGAGGACAAAGCTTGTGCTTACTGCTCTGACCAATCCTGCACTGCCCTTAGTCAGTCTGAGGTGACCTAAGGGGTTTGTTTGTTTGTTTGTTTGTTTCTTCCCCTATTTAACTCATAAGAGAAATCAGGGAGGGATTACCAAACTCTCTGTCTCAATATCCTGGATTAAAGGCACTTGTAACTCTCAAAAATCGTTATTCCCAACATTGGCCAGCTGCAGGAAAACCAGTTCTGCAGTTGGCATGGAAGCCCAGACAATGAGAAAATGAGATTAATGAACGATTTCTAAAGAGCATTATTAAGATCACTGTAAGTTCCATTAACTTTTTTTTAATCTTCCCATATATTGTCTGTTGTCATGGAAACACAGCTTCAGTTAAGCTGCCTATAAAAATAATTTAATGACTGGTGACCCTTCTAGATAAATGTCAGTTAATGAGCATTATAAGTGTGGGTTTCTTTAATTTCAGATAGAACGCTTGCCTAATTTTTTTCCTGGGGGGATTAAAACCATGTCTGCTTATTATGCAGGCAAGGCCTGCATCCATGCCTACCTCCATTTTCAATCGCATATTTCCTCCTACATAATTGCAATTTTGTCCTTTCTTCCTAGAAAATAATTCACAGTTATCAGGAACAAAGACAACGAGTGTAACTATGAGAGTGATGAGTCATTAAATGTTCTTTAAAAACATTATTAAACTGGCAAGGACATTTTGAATGTACATTTTCCAGCAGATTGGTTACCTGATTTGTTTTCCTACAGGTATGTGTCATCGTTGGTAATTACAGCATGTTTAGTGTCACAAACGGTACCTTACTAAGTACATTTTCAGTGAAGTGAGATACCTTTATTCAGGAGAAATATGTTGTCAGTTTATTCATATCACATAAGAACAGGCTACAGAAGCTCATGGGATTGTCCTAAGAATTTTAAGCTAATTTTATTATTTAATTACCCAAATAATACTATTTCATTGTAGAAAGGCAGAAAATATAAATAAGAAAAAAAGATAAAAATAATCCACATTTTGCCACCCAGAATTAAGCAATGTTAACATTTAAAGATTTCGCCTTATGTAGTCCGTCTGCCTACTTGTCTACCTCCTCCCTTCCCATGTATCATCCACTTACTTATTTAAAACAAAAATGAGCTCATGCCACATATATTATTCTGTAAACTATGTTAGACATTCAACAGCAAATTGTATTTTATAATGTGTTTACAATAGAACTTAACAAGATCCATAAAAATGGAGAAATTGGGTCAAAGGATTTGAGTGCATGTTTCTTATACAGATTGCCATATTACGGACAGAGGACTTTAAAATTTGTCATTTCCATTGCTGCTTCCCAGAACCACGCCAAGCCTCACAGAAGCCTGAAACGAAAGGAAAAATGTGCAACCCAATACAAATGTTCTTCACCTTATGATAGGTGATAAACCCATCACAAAGTCCAAAAAGCATTAAATCAAACCATGGTAAGTTGGGGAACATTTGTATACACTTATCAAAGTATTATCCCATATTTTGAACCAAGTGAGAAAGTTAATAAAAGATCTACAATCAAAAATATGACCATATACAAAGCCACGTGTTGCCCAGTCTATTAATATGCCATTGTCAATCCTCATAAATCTGCTTGCTGGTGGACAAGGGCTGCACCGCCTTGCCAGGCCAGGGAACTGACAGCTGGTTGGAAAGGACTGATCCTATTGCACAACAATGCAGAGTCATAAAACAAACAGACATAGCCTACCTTTATTTAAAATTTTGATATTTTGATATTTGTTTCTTCATAGATACTTTTGTATTAATTTTAATTTTGAAAATATTGCATTCAAATACTACTTTGATCACTAAGTTTTTTGTTGTAACCTTACATTTTGCACTTAAGGCAAGTAGCGTCACTTGCCTTACTCTAATTCTGGCCCTGCTACTTCCAAAGAGGATGCCAGGATCATTGACTCCCAGACAAACATTTTCTGATGACCATTAGGCAGCTGTGACTATGTAAAGTCTTAGTGATACCCAGGGACTGTAAGGCTTGAGAGTGGGTGGGGCCATGAGGAAGTGGGAATTAAATGTCTAATATTCCTTAAAAGTTAATACGATAACTTTAAAAAGTTTCCCTGCTTTCTAGAAGA